TAGTATTTACAATCACTTTTAAAATTTTATTTTTATTGCAATATTTTTATAAGCATCTTTTCAATATTTTATAGTCACTTCAAACAAACTAAATGTACATAAAATTTATGGCTGGTAAATTTTATAATTTTAGATTGGGACGTACACAATTCTTATGGATTAACTTATGTTACACAAAAAATTTGATTTTTTTGTATAAATTTATGCATTAAAATATGTATTTTTGCTTTTAAAAAGTTAGTAAATGTGATATTCTTCATATGATGGTGGGGATTTGAGTTTTATGAATGCATATGTTAAAGTTTCGGTGTTGCATGTGTCAATATATAAGAATAGTGCGGCAATATATGTAAATGCCCCTTTCAGTTTTATGAATTTTTAAAAATATTAATTTTATAAATTTTCAAGTAGTTTTGTATTTTGATTTCGCGTCGTTGTCTCGCTTCCATTCTAACTCGCGGTGGAGCACAAAATTCTCCACTTCGTTGATTCACAACCGCTTCTTCCTAATATTAATAATAAGGAAAAGGAATCAACTTTCCGCGTCTAAAGCTCCATAACCAGTTTTCATGCTCCTCTTCCATGTCGATGGATTCGCGGAAGAAGAAAAGGATAAATTTTGACGAAGAAGAAGCGGTCGTCGCTGGTGATATCTCCATTCTCAGCGATGACCTCCTCCATGAGATTCTACTACGACTCCCACCAACCTCTGTTGTCAACTCCATATCAGTCTCCAGGTCCTTGCTGCGCGCGTGTAGTTCCCCTCTCTTCCGCCTTCAATATAAATCTCGCCGAGCTTCTTACTTGCTCGGCTTCTTCGTTAACCAAAAATTCAGAAAAACCTCATATATTCCCATTTCGTCCTCCTCCACTGCTATATCCGAGCCCGGCTCCGCTTACATCGTCGACTGTCGCGGGGGATGGCTTCTAGTTGTAGATTTCCATGACTTTTCCGCCCGCCTCTTTCATCCCATATTCAATGAAACCGTAGCCATTGTTCAACCCTCGCGTCATAATGCCACCTCCACTTTCTACGCCCTTCTTCCCGATCCCTCCTCATCCAACCCTCGTTGCCGAGTCCGAATCCTTCGTGTTTTGATTAAGCCCTCTTCCTGTCCCGTTATTCAGATTTTCTCGCCGGAAACCCCCGGTGAATACAAAAAGATACAATCTTCATGCAAAATTCACATTGGGCTCTGCTACGTGAAGAGACATCCCGTTTTGGTGAATGGATTTGTTCACTGGCTCAAAGGCGATCGTCAAATTCTTGTTTTGAATGAAAATAGCTACGATCTTTCACTTCTAGGGCTTCCAAGGGGGATTCCGAGAGGGCTTCCGAGGAGGTTTACAAATCATTGGTTGGGCGGATTCAAAAATCAACTCTGCTACGCGTATCTTGAGGAATTTGAACTGTATATATGGGTTCTTGTTGATCGATTGCGCTGTGAATGGCACCTGGAGCATCGATTGGAGGTGGGGAAATTTCCAGAGCTTAGTAGTCATTCTGATCAGACCAGGTTTCTTGCGATTGGTATCGGAGGGAGTTTAAATGCTATATTTCAAGGTTGGATGGGGAAGATCTTCTCGCTTGGTTTGGTGAGTGGAGAATTGAGAGAGATTGGCAATGCTGCCTTTAAAGTCCATTGTGTCTTTCCCCTACATTTCAATGGAGGCTGATTAGTCCTTTTCTCTAATGTGAGGCGCTGCTGTTAGTTTCATGTTGTGCAAACTCGCGTTGTTTTTTTGTTTTTTTTTTGTTCTAATGTCTTTAGCTGTGTTTTCATTCTATTGTTCTTTTCTTATTTTCAATGTGCTGAGAAGAAAAAGCAAGGATATCCTTTTTCGGTCAGATGAAGTATTTGATTTGTAATTTTATTTTCCTCAAAAGTTTGTTGAAGGTTAATGTTGAATCTTAATTTGCCCATGAATCACACCCCAAAAAAAAAAAAAACGTAAGATAAGAGGTAGGGAGGGAGAAGGAGATGCACAGTGATGGATCCTAATTTATCCATAAATCACACCCAAGGAATAGAGCTTAAGATAAGAGGAGGAGAGATAGAGAGAGATGCACAACAATGAAGATTAATATGATTTGTTGATTAGTCTTTTATCGTAAAATGATTTTTCTATTTATAGAGGTTGTTGTACAATATATTATAATACATGTGTCTATGTTTTAATGAGAGAGTTGCATGATATTTTAGGTATTTACATGTATCAATTTACGGCTAGGCTAACCTCCAACTTTGTTGGTTGAAATCAATAGGTCTTGGTTCGATAAGACATGTTCGTCAGACTGAGCTAAATCCAGGTTATCTATTAGCTTTTGATGATCTTCGGATCAATAAGACTTAGCTCGATCGATTTAGCTTTGTTAGTCGGCCATTTTGCCTAGCTATCTATTATCGATTGCTACATTTAGGATCTCTTGTCGACAAAATGAAACTAGATTATCGGGCAGAAGATGAAACACTGTAATTCGACTTATAGTTCATTTATTGTTGAATGGGTCATTCAACATAATTTTTTATTATGTTATTGTTAATTCTTGACCTCTGGTGAGGAATCTCATAGGCATCCGTGAGATGGTTCGCTATACTGAACTCTTTCCTTGAGTCGGGTTGTGTGGCTAGACGTAGGCCGATGTCTCTATTTAGCTTCATTAGTCTTAGTCCTTGATTTAGATGGTCTACATCCGGTCGACTTTTAATCTCAGTTTTAGGGTGTTGCATTGGGTAAAGTGGGTTCTTTAGTCTTCCGTACTTTTTTGTCTCCTAGTACATGGGATCTCCTTGAGTTTAATTATTATTTTAACTTCTAGGATTTGTTTGGTATATTTATTTTAGGCAGTACTTCAAGGAAGGTTTATCATTAATTATACCAAATATAATATTTGATGTTTTAAATTCCACTGTTTTGATATATGTTTTTTTTTTTTTAATTATGTTTAGTATTTGTTAAGTTTTTAATTATGTAGTTCTATATAGTATTTGTTAAGTCCTACCATTCATAAGCTCTAAAATTATGTTTAGTATTTGTTAAGTCCTACCATTCATAAGCTCTAATGGATTTAAGTATTTCTCATTCTCACAAATCTTAATTATCAAAACCCATAGCTAAACAGTTTATCATGATTTAGATTTATAGCATCATGAAATATGCATTTAACCTTTTAAAGGGTTCGTAGATGTGATATTTTTGATGTGATGGTAAGGATTTGAGTGTTAAAATTTAAGGTGTTAGATGTACAAATATATAAGAACCGTGTGGAATATATGTAAATGCCCCTTTCAGATTTTTTTGTTTTTTATAAATATTAAAAATTAAAAATTTTGAAGTATTTTTGGTTCACCTTTCATGATTCAAGTTTGATGAGAAAAGAACTCTATTTGGCCCATGGAGCACCCTCTTCTCAATATTTAATTTAATTTTGAATTAAATTAAACTATAAATTTGAATAATTTGGCTATTTAATATTTAATAGAACTGGCTGCATAAACCTAATGATTGGGATTAAAATATAAATTACTGATAAAATTATGTTATCCAATCAAGTAATTAGATATAATTTGATAGGCTTGAAGACTCTTGTCCATCCGTTTTTAAATAGAATAGATCCGAACTCATCTTTGATCAACTTGTTTCCCGGGCTTTTTTTGGGAGATGGGAAACACTCACACGTGCGGAAATTTAGGAGAACCAAAATTACATCTAATTTTATATTATTTTAGATAATGAAAAATAAGTAAAATAATATAAATTATATCTAATTAAAATTAATTGATGCCAAGTTGA